ATGAGGAAACAAATCAATACAAGACTCCATCCTTGGCCCTCAAACTCGGCCATAGCCTCAGAAAGCTAGCAGATATTCTTGAATGTGACTCAAAAATGGAGCATTGTGTTGATGAACTATTTATTAAAAACCTCCAACGAAGCCGGCTGCTTTTTGAGAAGAGGTGGGACGTCTGTGTTTCTTCTGCTGCCCTACAGACCCTCCGGCAAGCCAAGTGGAACACTCCGGACCTGCTCCCTCTGACTGAGGACGTTAGAGCCATGCATGCACATATTGAGGTATGTCGACCTGAATATGTGCAAACCCTAATAAGTGAGCCAACGTCTAAGCATTGGTCTAAACTGGCAGTTTTGACTCTTTTTGAGGTCATTATTTTCAATCGAAGAAGGGAAGGTGAGGTTTCAAAGATGCCACTGACAGCCTTTACCTTAAGAAGTAAGACTGGGATCCATTCTGACATTGCTCTGGGACTGTCCGAACTTGAGAAAAAGCTGTGTCAGCATTTTCAACGCATTGAAATTAAAGGGAAAAGAAGTCGGAAAGTGCCGGTTCTTTTGACTCCTGAAATGATTGCTTGGATGGAGGTGCTGGTGGAGAACAGAAGGGCCTGTTCCATCTCTGACCATAACCCATACTTCTTCTCCCGCCCGGGCGCAGACACCCACATCAGGGGATCAGACTCCCTACGCCAGGTAGCCAAAGAATGTGGTGCGGTGCATCCAGAGATGCTATCCTCAACCAAACTTAGAAAGCACATAGCTACTATGTCTACAGTTCTCAATATGAAAGAGAATGAAATGGACATACTAGCCAACTTCCTCGGCCATGACATTCGCATCCACAGGCAATATTACAGACTACCAGAGGGGACACTGGAGCTGGCCAAAATCAGCAAAGTGTTGATGGCCATGGAGCAGGGAAGAGTGACGGAATTCGAAGGAAAGAGCCTCGACCAGATACAAATTGAGCCTGAAGGTAATTCTTGATATTATTAAAATATGTATGATTTTTTTCCCCTAAAGGCCACTTGTATTTTTATTTTCTGTGCGACAGGGAGAGCAGTAGAGATCCTCTCACAAACGGACGGGCTAAAAGAAACTTCAAGCGGAGAACCTTCAACCATTCATCCAGATGCACCCCATGGTAGTGGCAGTGCCCCTTCTGGTAAGTGTACCAGGTGGGGGATTACAGCCAGGCTGCTTGGTCCTAACCCTGGGAGTGTATATTGCTAATATATTTTTATTTATCTCCCTAGAACGTGTAAGAAAGCCATGGTCTGCATCTGAGGTGAAGGCTGTGGAGAAGACCATGACACCTTTCATACAGACTGGAAAGGTCCCTGGGAAGTCTCACTGCCTGGCCTGGCCTGGCCTGGCCTGCATTAATGCCTCACCAGATGACCTTAGACATCGGACATGGAGTGGCATTAAATTCTATGTCAAAAATAGAATCACTGCAATTCGAAAAAAAAATCTAAAATAAAATTCCTTTAAAAGAGTTGTTTGTTTTCTATTGACTGTTTTGTATTACTTAAAGTAGTCCCAGTAAAAAAAGATTATGTCTATGGGTCCCATTCTGAACGGCCCTGTCAAAGGGACCCACCAGGTAACAAAAACGTGTATGTGTGTGTGTGTCTGTGTGTCTGTGTGTGTGTGTGTATGTGTGTCTGTGTGTGTGTGTATGTGATGTGTGTGTGTGTGTCTGTGTGTGTGTGTATGTGTGTGTGATGTGTATGTGTGTGTGTGTGTGTGTGTGATGTGTCTGTGTGTGTGTGTATGTGTGTGTGATGTGTATGTGTGTGTGTGTGTGTGTGTGCTGTGTGTGTGTGTATGTGATGTGTGTGTGTGTGTGTGTGTGTGTGTGTGTGTGTGTGTGTGTGTGTGTGTGTGTGTGTGTGTGTGTGTGTGTGTGTGTGTGTGTGTGTGTGTGTGTGTGTGTGTGTTGTGTGTGTGTGTGTGTGTGTGTGTGTGTGTGTGTGTGTGTGTGTCTTACCGGGCGTGGGGGTCCAGGTGAGAGCAGTTGCAGATGTACCCCTGGTCCTTGGGGATGCAGTGCCCTCCGTCTGCACAGGGCTGAGACACACAGGGGTTCTCCGAGAGCTCACAGAGAGGACCATGGAACTGTCCTGAGCACCTGCACTGGGCCTCTGCCAAAACACCAGGACAGAAGAAGTGGAACAGGTTAACATTAAGAGATCCTCAGTGGGGAAATTTCAGTGTTGCATCACAAGTTAGAGAACAGTAGGAAAGAGGAGCACACGATACATGAACCATAACTCTGTACTAATCAAAATATAACAAGATCTCTAACTCTAGCATCAAAGAGTATAAAATCTCTATCTTGAACATAATATTAATAATAATAATAAAGAAGTATAAGAATATTATCATATTATAAAACATCTGAAAGTGACTGTTTTAAGGCTGTAAAATCACTCACACACACTTTAGACACTTTTGTAACTACCTGGACTCACGACTGCTGAAGTGAGAGAGACCAGAGAGAGAAAGAGAGAGAGAGAGAGCAGAGAGAGGCTAAAGAGAGAGACTAGAGAAACAGAGAGAGAGAGCAGAGAAACAGAGAGAGAGAGTAGAGAGAGGCTAAAGAGAGAGAGACCAGATAAACAGAGAGAGAGCAGAGAGAGGCTAAAGAGAGAGACTAGAGAGAGAGAGGCCAGAGAAAGCAGAGATAGACCAGAGAGGGACCAGACAGAACCTAGAGAGAGAGTTCAGCAAGAGGGAGACCAGAGAGAGAGAGAGACCAGAGAGAGACCAGAGAGAGACCAGAGAGAGTGACCACAGAGAGAGACCAGAGTGAGACCAGAGAGAGACCAGAGAGAGACCAGAGAGAGACCAGAGAGAGACCAGAGAGAGAGACCTCAAAACTAATCATCGCTGTGCACACAAGCCACAGGTTTCATTCTGATTCTAAACAAAGGTAACCGTCATGACTCCCAGTTATATGATTTTATTTCCCATTGGAACCGCCTGTGACTACAAACATCTATAACACACAACGCTAAAAGCTAATTCTGATTTTTCTCTCCAAAAACTACCTGCAAAACCATTCTGACTTTTACATGTGCTCCTAACACATGGTTCCCAGTGTGTGTCTCTGGTCTAACACATGGTTCCCAGTGTGTGCCTCTGGTCTCCTGACACATGGTTCTCAGTGTGTGCCTCTGGTCTCCTAACACATGGTTCCCAGTGTGTGCCTCTGGTCTCCTGAAACAGGGTTCCCAGTGTGTGCCTCTGGTCTCCTGACACATGGTTCTCAGTGTGTGCCTCTGGTCTCCTGACACATGGTTCCCAGTGTGTGTCTCTGGTCGAACACATGGTTCCCAGTGTGTGCCTCTGGTCTCCTGACACATGGTTCCCAGTGTGTGCCTCTGGTCTCCTGACACATGGTTCCCAGTGTGGGCCTCTGGTCTCCTGACACATGGTTCCCAGTGTGTGCCTCTGGTCTCCTGACACATTGTTCTGAGTGTGTGCCTCTGGTCTCCCTACACATGGTTCCCAGTGTGTGTCTCTGGTCGAACACATGGTTCCCAGTGTGTGCCTCTGGTCTCCTGACACATGGTTCCCAGTGTGTGCCTCTGATCTCCTGACACATGGTTCCCAATGTGTGCCTCTGGTCTCCTGACACATGGTTCCCAGTGTGGGCCTCTGGTCTCCTGACATACGGTTCCCAATGTGTGCCTCTGGTCTCCTGACACATGGTTCCCAGTGTGTGCCTCTGGTCTCCTGACACATGGTTCCCAGTGTGTGCCTCTGGTCTCCTAACACATGGTTCCCAGTGTGTGCTTCTGGTCTAACACATGGTTCCCAGTGTGTGTCTCTGGTCTCCTAACACATGGTTCCCAGTGTGTGCCTCTGGTCTAACACATGGTTCCCAGTGTGTGCCTCTGGTCTCCTAACACATGGTTCCCAGTGTGTGCCTCTGGTCTCCTAACACATGGTTCCCAGTGTGTGCTTCTGGTCTAACACATGGTTCCCAGTGTGTGTCTCTGGTCTCCTAACACATGGTTCCCAGTGTGTGCTTCTGGTCTAACACATGGTTCCCAGTGTTTGCCTGTGTTCTAACACATGGTTCCCAGTGTGTGTCTCTGGTCTCCTAACACATGGTTCCCAGTGTGTGCCTCTGGTCTAACACATGGTTCCCAGTGTGTGCCTCTGGTCTCCTGACACATGGTTCCCAGTGTGTGCCTCTGGTCTCCTGACACATGGTTCCCAGTGTGTGCCTCTGGTCTCCTGACACATGGTTCCCAGTGTGTGCCTCTGGTCTCCTAACACATGGTTCCCAGTGTGTGCCTCTGGTCTTACACATGGTTCCCAGTGTGTGCATCTGGTCTCCTAACACATGGTTCCCAGTGTGTGCCTCTGGTCTAACACATGGTTCCCAGTGTGGGCCTCCGGTCTCCTGACACATAGTTCCCAGTGTGTGCCTCTGGTCTCCTGACCCATGGTTCCCAGTGTGTGCCTCTGGTCTAACACATGGTTCCCAGTGTGTGCCTCTGGTCTAACACATGGTTCCCAGTGTGTGCCTCTGGTCTCCTGACACATGGTTCCCAGTGTGTGCCTCTGGTCTCCTGACACATGGTTCCCAGTGTGTGCCTCTGGTCTAACACATGGTTCCCAGTGTGTGCCTCTGGTCTAACACATGGTTCCCAGTGTGTGCCTCTGGTCTCCTGACACATGGTTCCCAGTGTGTGTCTCTGGTCTAACACATGGTTCCCAGTGTGTGCCTCTGGTCTAACACATGGTTCCCAGTGTGTGCCTCTGGTCTCCTGACACATGGTTCCCAGTGTGTGCCTCTGGTCTAACACATGGTTCCCAGTGTGTGCCTCTGGTCTCCTGACACATGGTTCCCAGTGTGTGCCTCTGGTCTAACACATGGTTCCCAGTGTGTGCCTCTGGTCTCCTGACACATGGTTCCCAGTGTGTGCCTCTGGTCTCCTGACACATGGTTCCCAGTGTGTGCCTCTGGTCTAACACATGGTTCCCAGTGTGTGCCTCTGGTCTAACACATGGTTCCCAGTGTGTGCTTCTGGTCTAACACATGGTTCCCAGTGTGTGCCTCTTGTCTAACACATGGTTCCCAGTGTGTGTCTCTGGTCTCCTAACACATGGTTCCCAGTGTGTGCTTCTGGTCTAACACATGGTTCCCAGTGTGTTCCTCTGGTCTAACACATGGTTCCCAGTGTGTGCCTCTGGTCTAACACATGGTTCCCAGTGTGTGCCTCTGGTCTCCTAACACATGGTTCCCAGTGTGTGCTTCTGGTCTAACACATGGTTCCCAATGTGTGCCTCTGGTCTAACACATGGTTCCCAGTGTGTGCCTCTGGTCTCCTGACACATGGTTCCCAGTGTGTGCCTCTGGTCTAACACATGGTTCCCAGTGTGTGCCTCTGGTCTCCTGACACATGGTTCCCAGTGTGTGCCTCTGGTCTCCTGACACATGGTTCCCAGTGTTTGCCTCTGGTCTCCTGACACATGGTTCCCAGTGTGGGCCTCTGGTCTCCTGACATATAGTTCCCAATGTGTGCCTCTGGTCTCCTGACACATGGTTCCCAGTGTGTGCCTCTGGTCTCTTGACACATGGTTCCCAGTGTGTGCCTCTGGTCTCCTAACACATGGTTCCCAGTGTGTGCCTCTGGTCTCCTAACACATGGTTCCCAGTGTGTGCTTCTGGTCTAACACATGGTTCCCAGTGTGTGCCTCTTGTCTAACACATGGTTCCCAGTGTGTGCTTCTGGTCTAACACATGGTTCCCAGTGTGTGCCTCTTGTCTAACACATGGTTCCCAGTGTGTGTCTCTGGTCTCCTAACACATGGTTCCCAGTGTGTGCTTCTGGTCTAACACATGGTTCCCAGTGTGTGCCTCTGGTCTAACACATGGTTCCCAGTGTGTGCCTCTGGTCTCCTAACACATGGTTCCCAGTGTGTGCCTCTGGTCTAACACATGGTTCCCAGTGTGTGTCTCTGGTCTCCTAACACATGGTTCCCAGTGTGTGCTTCTGGTCTAAGACATGGTTCCCAGTGTGTGCCTCTGGTCTAACACATGGTTCCCAGTGTGTGTCTCTGGTCTCCTAACACATGGTTCCCAGTGTGTGCCTCTGGTCTAACACATGGTTCCCAGTGTGTGCCTCTGGTCTCCTAACACATGGTTCCCAGTGTGTGCCTCTGGTCTAACACATGGTTCCCAGTGTGTGTCTCTGGTCGAACACATGGTTCCCAGTGTGTGCCTCTGGTCTCCTGACATATGGTTCCCAATGTGTGCCTCTGGTCTCCTGACACATGGTTCCCAGTGTGTGCCTCTGGTCTCTTGACACATGGTTCCCAGTGTGTGCCTCTGGTCTCCTAACACATGGTTCCCAGTGTGTGCCTCTGGTCTCCTAACACATGGTTCCCAGTGTGTGCTTCTGGTCTAACACATGGTCCCCAGTGTGTGCCTCTGGTCTAACACATGGTTCCCAGTGTGTGTCTCTGGTCTCCTAACACATGGTTCCCAGTGTGTGCCTCTGGTCTAACACATAACAAGACTACAACGAGACTAAAACAAGACTACAGTGAGACTATAACAAGACTACAACGAGACTAAAACAAGACTACAGTGAGACTAAAACAAGACCCCAGCGACAACAAAACAAGACCACAACAAGACCAAAACAAGACCACAACGAGACCAAAACAAGACCACAACGAGAACAAAACAGGATAAAAAAAAGGACCACAACAAGACCAGAATTAGACCAGAATGAGACCGAAATAAGACTACAACAAGACCACAATCAAACCAGATCCCAGCCGTCAGAGAAAGACCAGAGAGAGACCAGAGAGAGACCAGAGAGAGACCAGAGAGAGAGACCAGAGAGAGACCAGAGAGAGAGACCAGAGAGAGACCAGAGAGAGACCAGAGAGAGAGACCAGAGAGAGACCAGAGAGAGAGACCAGAGAGAGAGACCAGAGAGAGACCAGAGAGAGAGACCAGAGAGAGACCAGAGAGAGAGACCAGAGAGAGACCAGAGAGAGAGACCAGAGACAGAGACCAGAGACAGAGACCAGAGAGAGACCAGCAAGAGACCAGCAAGAGACCAGAGAGACACCACAGAGAGACCAGCGAGAGACCAGAGAGAGAGACCAGCGAGAGACCAGAGAGAGAGACCGGCGAGAGCCCAGCAAGAGATCAGAGAGAGACACCAGCGAGAGACCAGAGAGAGACACCAGCAAGAGATCAGGGGGAGTCTCTCACACACCATAGACATAACACTGCAGGACACACAAACTACACACAGTGGTTGATAAACTGGTGAGAGCCACAGTGACACATGGTTCTCTGGAGTCAGATTCCTGGTCTTTACCATAGTGCTCCTTCTGTGTTCTTCAGGGAGCTGGTGGAGCGAGACCTCGGCTTCAGGATGATGCTCATGTCTCGCCGCCTGAACTAAAGCATTCCAGCGGACTCAGGGCTCCTCGCGGTCCTCCCACAGCCGACCAGGACTGTCGCAATCACGGCACGCATTCCAGAGGCAGCCCTGACCGGATGTAAGAGGACACCCGCGCTCCGCTTTCAGTATCCCCGCCTTGGCAATGCGATATTTCCCATTCGCAACTCTCTCTATCTCGCTTTCTCTCTCTCTATCTCGCTTTCTCTCTCTCTCTCTCTCTCTCTGACTTACATGCTACTCCACGTCTGAGCACTCACTGTGGAGGTGTGTGTGCTGCTGAGAGGGTAGGTCAGAGAGAGGGAGGGAGGGGGGAGAGAGGGGGGAGGGAGGGAGGAGCCGTGTTGTTGTAGTAGTTGCAGTATTCAAAACACTGCAGCCTGAGTCCTGACTAGATCGAGGAAGTACCATCACATCAGTCCTGGTGTCAGTCTGTGGCTCAGAGGATAGACTTTAAAGCAGCTCTGGTTGTAGACAAGTCTCCGGTCTCTCTGGTCTGTCTCTGGTCTCTCTCTGGTCTCTCTCTGTTTCTCTCTCTCCAGACTCTCTCTCTCTGGCCTCTTTCCAGTCTCTCTCTGGTCTACCTATCTCTGGTCTCTCTCTGGTCCCTCTGGTCTCTCCATGCCGTGTCTCTCTTTCTCCAGTCCCAATCTCTCTGGCCTCTCTCTTCAGTCTCTCTCTCTCTGGCCTCACTCTGGTGTCTCTCTGGTCTCTCTCTGGTCTCTCTCTGGTCTCTCTCTGGTCTCCTCTGGTCTCTCTCTGGTCTCTCTCTCTCTCTGGTCTCTCGCTCTCTCTCTCTCTGGTCTCTCTCCAGTCTCTCTGCTCTCTCTCTGGTCTCTCTCTCTCTCTCTGGTCTCTCGCTCTCTCTGGTCTCTGGCTCTCTCTCCAGTCTCTCTGCTCTCTCTCTGGTCTCTCTCTGGTGTCTCTCTTGTCTCTCTTGGTCTCTCTCTGGTCTCTCTCTGGTCTCTCTCTCTGGTCTCTCTCCAGTCTCTCTCTGCTCTCTCTCTGGTCTCTCTCTCTCTCTCTCTGGTCTCTCTCTCTGGTCCCTCTCTCTCTGGTCTCTCTCTGGTCTCTCTCTGGTCTCTCTCTGGTCTCTCTCTGGTCTCTCTCTGGTCTCTCTCTGGTCTCTCTCTGGTCTCTCTCTGTCTCTCTCTATTTTGTCCCTCTTCAGTCTTTCTCTCTGGTCTCTCTGGTGACAGGATCATTATGGCCTCAGTCACTGCTGTTAAGTCTCACATGAGCAGAGACACAAACGGTTTGAGACGTCAGAGTCTGAGCTGCACTTAGAGCTGCACACAATCCACTCTCAGAGTGTACAACGAACACATCTCTGCAAAATATCAGATCCACAAAGATGGCGGCTTTGTGAATCTGTACAATCAAAATATGATCTGGGAAAACACTATTTTTCAAAATGTTTTTGTCAGTTGGTCTCTCTCTCTGGTCTCTCTCTCTGGTCTTTCTCTCTGGTGTCTCTCTCCCTCTCAGTCTCTCTCTCCAGTCTCTCCCCTCAGTCTCTCTCTCCAGTCTCTCTCTCCAGTCTCTCTCTCTGGTCTCTCTCTCTGGTCTCTCTCTCTGGTCTCTCTCTGTCTGGTCTCTCTCTCTGGTCTTTCTCTCTGGTGTCTCTCTCCCTCTCAGCTCTCGCTCCACTCTCTCTCTCTCCAGTCTCTCTCTGGTCTCTCTCTCTCTGGTCTCTCTCTCTGGTCTCTCTCTCTCTGGTCTCTCTCTGGTCTCTCACTCACTCTGCTCTCTTTCTCTGCTCTCCCTCTCCGCTCTCTCTCCAGTCTCTCTCTCTGGTCTCTCTCTCTGGTCTCTCTCGTCTCTCTCTCTGGTCTCTCTCTGGTCTCTCTCTCCAGTCTCTCTCTCTGGTCTCTCTCTCTGGTCTCTCTCTCTGGTCTCTCTCTGTCTGGTCTCTCTCTCTGGTCTTTCTCTCTGGTGTCTCTCTCTCCCTCTCAGCTCTCGCTCCACTCTCTCTCTCTCCAGTCTCTCTCTCTGGTCTCTCTCTCTCTGGTCTCTCTCTCTCTGGTCTCTCTCTTCTGGTCTCTCTCTGGTCTCTCACTCACTCTGCTCTCTTTCTCTGCTCTCCCTCTCCGCTCTCTCTCCAGTCTCTCTCTCTGGTCTCTCTCTCTCTGGTCTCTCTCTCCAGTCTCTCCCCTCAGTCTCTCTCTCCAGTCTCTCTCTCTGGTCTCTCTCTCTGGTCTCTCTCTCTGGTCTCTCTCTGTCTGGTCTCTCTCTCTGGTCTTTCTCTCTGGTGTCTCTCTCTCCCTCTCAGCTCTCGCTCCACTCTCTCTCTCTCCAGTCTCTCTCTCTGGTCTCTCTCTCTCTGGTCTCTCTCTCTCTGGTCTCTCTTTCTGGTCTTTCTCTCTGGTGTCTCTCACTCACTCTCAGTCTCTCTCTCCAGTCTCTCTCTCTGGTCTCTCTCTCTCTGGTCTCTCTCTGGTCTCTCACTCACTCTGCTCTCTCTCTCTGCTCTCCCTCTCCGCTCTCTCTCCAGTCTCTCTCTGGATAACATTGGCCAATCCATCTAATCAAAATGGCGTCCTTGTGAATCCAAACCTTCTTAAACAATCCTCTGAACAAACATTAGAACAATTTCTTTCCCACAGACTCTCTCTCTGGTCTCTCTCTCTCTCGCTCTCTCTCTGACCTTCCTCGAGGATTTCAAAAGCCCAGGTCCAAGGTTGCGGTGGCGGAGGAGTTGGGCCCCGGTGCATTGTGGGAGGTGCTCAGTCACACAGTGGTCTGATTAAACACATTAGTGTGACACTCGGGGTACACAGCCATTTGTCGCTGTCAGCAGCTCTCTTGTTTTTGATGGGGGAGTTTGATCTATATCTATGCATTATTCTGATCGCAAATTGCTTTTTATAATGAGGCCGTATAATCTCTGAGACCGAACTCGACCTGAAGCTGCTGTTCGTACGACGCTAAACACAGCTGAGTAAACACCGCAAAAAAAGATCAAATATGAGGTGAAAATGCGGAGTTTCTTAAAACAAGATTTGGCTTAAAACAAGAGCAGAGAGGTTTCCTGGTTTTACACTGGTCCACACCAGAGCAGAGAGGATTCATGGTTTTACACTGGTCCAGACCAGAGCAGAGAGGATTCATGGTTTTACACTGGTCCAGACCAGAGCAGAGAGGATTCATGGTTTTACACTGGTCCAGACCAGAGCAGAGAGGATTCATGGTTTTACACTGGTCCAGACCAGAGCAGAGAGGATTCATGGTTTTACACTGGTCCAGACCAGAGCAGAGAGGATTCATGGTTTTACACTGGTCCAGACCAGAGCAGAGAGGATTCATGGTTTTACACTGGTCCAGACCAGAGCAGAGAGGATTCATGGTTTTACACTGGTCCAGACCAGAGCAGAGAGGATTCATGGTTTTACACTGCATTACTACAGATCCATTCATCTGATATTTCTGTTGTTTACAAGTAGATGCTGATATTGTTACTATTGTTTATTCTCTGCTGCTAAAGTACAAAGTACACATCTGTAAAAACCTCTGAACAGTGACGAATAAAGGAATATCTTATCTTACACACAAACTAATACCTATAGGCAAAACGCTCCTTACAGGCAAAGTGGGGTAAAGTGTCTTGCCCAAGGACACAACGACAGCAGACATCAGTGGGAGTCGGTGGAGAAGGTCTCGCTGTGGACTCGAACCCACAAAGGCCAAGGCTCTCCCACCTGAGCCACCGTCGCCCAGTAAATAATAAAATAGAATGGCCGAGTTAGCGTTTGAAATTCAGGTAAAATGCACTTGTAGCTTATAATCTGGCGTGATCCTTCTGCGTGTCACATGACTCCGTTGCCGTGTCTCCGTCTCCGTGGGGACGGGAGGAGGCCGGACGGAGGCGGCGGTGCGAGTCCGAGAGCTCGTGTGATTGGCCGCGGTCGTTTGCACGGCGACAGGTCATCCATCTGAACGACCTCAGCCTTCCACAGAGGACTCCTGACTGCGAAGCGCCAAAACACCAGAGCCGACCGGGACTCTATGTGTTTTGTGCATTGATTTTAGATCTGGTTTTAGCGCGGGCTGTTTGCGAAAGCCACACAAGCGAGACGTAGGTAAGGAGCTGGTCCAGGCTGGAACCGTGAGTCTGAATGTGAGAGTATGTGCAAGACAAAAAGTAGAAAAAAGAAGGTGGAACATGTATCAAAGATGAAAACTGCTTTGCGCTTGTAATGCCCTATGCTGCCACCAGAGGGAGGAGTTTGATTTTGAAAAGTTATCGGCAGCAAATACAGCCGTGTGATTGAAAATAATGTATCTATGGGCAATACTTTTGTTTGACTACGCAGAGAACTGTAGTGGCACAGGACTGAGGCAGGAGCTTTAGCCTGGACAGATCTAAAAACAGCTCCAGCTCTGTCAGTAATGGTAAGATAATAGTATGCACAATATTAAAGGACACATGAACTGTTCCTCCAAAAAACAAGTATTATTTATGAAAAAGAACGTTAGGAGAGCGGGAAGAGCTCAGAGTAGAGCCGCTGCTTCTCCACATTGAGAGGAGCCATTTGAGGTTGGCTCGGGCCTCTTGTGCCTGGACGCCCCTGGTCTCCTCTCTGGGGCATGTCCCACCTGGAGGAGCCCAGGGGAACACCCAGAGACATCAGGACAAATCTGGGCGTCTCTGCTTAGACTGCTGCCCCCCGCGACCCGGCAACGGATAAAGCAGAAGAGCATGGATGGATGGAACAAAGCCAGATCTGTTGTATAAAAACCACTCACCCTCGTAGTCCTGGTCCCAGCGGTTCTTCCTGATGGAGCCGTTATCGGAGACGGAGGGGGGACGCGAGGGCAGGTGCGGGGCCACACTGCAGACCACAGGGGCCGGAGGTTTGGAGAGAGACCCCCCGGTGACAGACAGCTGCGAGTGCGGACGCAGGGACCTGAACGGGGACGTGTCCTGGTCCATGGAGGTCATCTCTATGGTCGTTCCCTCCGTGGCGTCCTTCAGGCTCTTACACAGACCGGCCTGGAAGTACCTGACCACACATGGACACAGGTGGATCAGAGAAGAAGAAGGAGAATTCTAAAG